GAGAGAGAGAGAGAGAGAGAGAGAGAGAGAGAATTAATATATTTGCTTTAAACATAGGTATAGAGAATGTGGTCTTCTTACTTGTTCATTTCTATTTAAAAAATAAAAATGAACAAAAAACATACATTGTTAAAAAAAAATATTTTGATCATTGCTCTACAATAGTTAGTGATAGAGACATCTCTTACATTATATTAAAGCTAATATGTACTTATAAAAATGCTAATTAAATCAGCAATATTATTATGAAACCCAATTCAACAAATGGGCCGGAGACATTCATGGTCATGGGCCAGAGTCAAGACAAAACTCATTTCCAAAAAATTAATGGAGGGCGACCAGAAAATTGGGATTAAAACAATGGTGGGCCCATTCAGTTTTTGACCGTCCGATGGGCTCATCCGTCTATGGCATTACCGGTGCGATGGCCCGTTTGCATTTATTTTGTGTTCATTTCAGTGGTTTTGAAATGGACAGTGAGTGTGAACCCTCCGATCCTATTCCACATCCATGGAATTCTCACCTAATTTGTTTGAGAGAGAGATAGAGATAGAGAGAGAAAGAGGTAGAGATAGAGAGAGAAAGAGGAGGGAGAGAGCAGTGGGTTAATTTAATTAAAAGCAAAGGCGATGGAGAAGATGTTCTGCTTTTTAGATGGGTGGTGGCAGCTCTTTTTAAAGAGGTATGGCGAGGATGATTCTCTCTCTCTCTCTCTCTCTCTCTCTCTCTCAATAAATACATAGGGCCATTTACATACATACCACCTAATTCCTACGTACGTAGATATCTAACACCTAAATTTGGGATAATTACGTACAGAGACCTCTAAACATTGATATTTACAAATCAAGCACCTATATAATTTTTGAACTAGATTATCATGGTCCATTGTGATAATTGAGTGAAACCTTGAAAATTGAATGAAAGAGGGTGTTTGATTTATAAATAGTAATTACGTTTATGCCACTCATTTTTTATATCACTTCAACCATATCTTTTCATGCATACATAGCGCGTCATATATGACAAGTTGAAATTTAGGGGCTTAGATATGTAAATACATAAATATCAGGTGGTATCAACGTAATAATCACTCATTGGCTATTATAATAATCATTAAGTATCCAAATTTATCATTACTCTTAATTAATTATTAGCCAAATCGTATATCTGTTTGAAGCAGCTGCAACTTATCAATAAATTGATAAACTGCTGAAAAATAATTTGCTGTTTAAAAAGTTGTGGTGGCTATTACAATTTTTTTTTTTTTATAGAAAAGTCAGACTGCAGCTAGAAAGTTGCAAACGCACCTTGTTAGAAATGATATGAAAATGCTGATTTCAGTGATTTGAAAACACATCTTTTTAAAAAGCTGTCAAAACGCAGTTTGTCCAAACGATCTTGGGTGCGATTTCAAAACGCACCACACCAAATAAAATAAATGTTCCAAGCATCCCTCTTATTATAAATGAACAAAAAAATTGTTGAAATTTATTATGAATTATGATATTTAAGAGAACTTTAGTAAATAAGTATAGGAGTGTTATGTTTATAAATAATAAAAAGTTCAAGGATATGTGTGCAATTATTATTTACCATGAATGACACATTTGTGGTGTCAACTGTGGCAACACTTGCCAAATAAAATAACAATTTGGCCCCTCTGATCCTATCCACTAACATATATTAATGATTGACATTTTTATGGTTGAATAAATATTAGGAAGATTTACATACATACCCTTAATTCCTATGTATTTGTATACCTAACACTTAAACTTCTATTCATATACATATTCTATCTTATCCATGCATGAAAAGTAAAGTCTCTTTTCATTTTTTTTTAAGTTAAAATAGTTAAGTTTTTTAAGTGATATGAAAGATTTAGATTATACACTGCGTTGTCATACATCTCATTGGCGGGCGGCGTGACGTCTGGTGGTTGGCTCCAAACGTGCGGACGTCTAGACGGAATATTTTTTCAGGATTTAGGATTGTGAAATAAAATCCTCATTTATTAATTTAGAAAAAATGTCATGTCACATGCCACATGACCTCACATGGCATGAGTGATTAATATGATAAGAATAGAATATCACCATTACTGAGATTTAGACTTCTAATTAATGTCATTTAAGTTCTAAGCAAATGTAAGTGTGGGAATGAAGCAATAGAATGGCATTTATTGTTCATTGTTTCAACTTTCTTTGATGTTGTAAACTATTAATCGTTTCTTTGCAAACATTATTTTCAAATTTCAGTGCAAAAAATATCAATAAACATACAAAAAATTGCACATTGGCTGAGTAGTATCACAAGCATCTTGATACGACCTAGAACCAAAAAGAGGGAGCAAGTATAGAATAAATTGCAATAGAGATGAGGGAAAACTCAAAAGAGGGCTCAACATTGATTTACTATTCGAGAGGTATATCGTTTCTCCAAAAATCCTGAATGTCACTGGGAACACCAAGAGAAAATAAAAGTTGCACCAAAACAAACCCTATATAATTTACCTTCAAAAATATTGTCCAAGATCCCTTTCAAACTTCCCCCCAAAGCCTCCTTTGATTCCTCTTCTGTTGTACTTGATTGTTGGTTGTGTGGGTCCTACTGGCATTCGTAAAATCAACCCTTATTTGAATATTAACACCTCTCTATTACAATTTATTCGTTGTTTGTTTGATATTTTTGATTTTGCATCGTATGACATCTCCAACGGTGTAAAAACTAAAGCTAAATTAAAAAAATAGTAACAAAAAACTAAGGAAAAAAAAAACAGCCCCATACCTTGTGCAAATAACCCGATGATTAGTGCTTGGAATCTGTCAAATAAGTTTTCAATATGGCAGACAATTCAAAAAGTGTGCTCATTTACACACAATTTTGCATCATTTGAACATTTCATTTTTCATTTTGAAAGATTTTGTTCCCATATGTTCCAAGCCTTCATGATTTCCTCCAACTCTGCATCTGAAATGGCCACACCATTTATCAAGTTCTGCATCCAATCTCTCCAAAACAGGGTTAGGATGATAGAGTATTAAACTGTGTTAGACGACTCAAAAATGGGCATAGAAAGTGATGTATTAGAATACATTTCCTTCTGCCATTCGAATATCTTGAAGGATCAATAAATGAACCAGACAATGAAGCTTGAAACATGCAGGTGAGCTCGACAGGCAAGCTTGATGTATACAAGCGAAAAGGTCTTTTCTTGGATTGATCTTTCGACTCCCTAATTCTGGAAGGCCTTGACAAAACATTGCTTTCTTCTAGTGCTGTTAAAATGGTTCTTTGTTCGTGAACAGCTCGTTCGGCTTGTTAAGAAGCTAGTGTTTGATTCGCTCGTTAAGTTAATGAGTCGAATACGAACACTTTTTGTGCTTGATATACTCATTTTGGCTCAGAATACATGAGTAGTATTTTGAAAAAATTAATTGACTAAAGCTACAAAGTTTTATAATCAATTAAAACTATTAATTAAAAAAATAGAATAAAAAATATTAAATTATGTTTAATGTTTTAATATAAACAATAAGATTTAAATCTTGCACCAACCCTTAACATTCTAAGATTGTGAGATTAGGGTTGTCAAAATGATTGTGTTTGGCTCGCTAAGCAAACGATTCGAACACGAACACAATTTTTGTGCTCAAAATATAAACGAATCGAACACGAACAGTGATATTTTTTAACCAGTCGAACGTGAGCTTAGCTTGAGCTAGCTCATGTTTGGTTCATTTACACCCCTACTTTCTTCAACCAAAATAGGGTTATTAACTAGCTCCAAAAGTTCTGCTAATTTTTTTTTTTGTTTTTGCAAGCCAGGCATATATATTGATTCAAAGGTCCTGAGACAGCATAGCGTGAGCTATGACAAGCTTGATATCTCTACGTCCAGCATCAATCGCCAGAATCGAGTAATAAAACTTCTTGAGCCTTCAAAAGGTGTTTGTTGATTCGTCAACAAAGCTCAAGTACTCCTTTATGATTTGCGAGCAATGACAAACTTAGCCGTGAACATTCGTTTGAATTCGCCAAAGGTCGCAACTCCTATCAACAAGTTATTGAACCAACACAAAGCCGATTACTTTAGGGCCATGAGGAATAAATGATATTTAAGGGTGTCATCTATTCATAATAATCATACTATCTATTCAAAGGAAGCAACATTATCGATGGTATCTGCTTTCCTTTTATAAGAATTCAAGAAAGAGATATTCAACTTTTTGGGTGCTACAACATCAACAATCTCTCGAGAATGTGTTCTATGATAGCATTCATCTTCTCCTTCTCCCTCTTTTTTTCTTCATCACGCGATGATTCTGAGTTCTCCTCTTACCGGACATAAAATTCATCATCATCATCTTCTTCTATCATAGGTGTCAAAGCTCGCCTTGGCCATGCCCTCGATACCTTCTCTTGACGGCCGATGTCTTCAAGATTCTCAACCTTCATATTATTCATCAAAATGATATCACGTGGATTCTAGGATTATCACTAGAGTTGGTCCTTGTCCTTCTACTTTATTCTATCATCACGTTCACCTGTTCTCTTGACTCATTCATCTGTTGTAACACACTCTCTGGTGCAATCTGCCGCTTCTCTATGTTCTCCTTCAAGCCAAAAATCTCCTTGTTGAATTAAAGTATGGATTTCACACTTACTGCACATTTTAGGATGTTGAATCTTTTTAGGACAGAAGATCCCATATAGTTCATAGACAATCTAAGAGATACCTTGTAAGATGAGCAGAGAAGGCGAAAAGGGATAGAGTTCTAGCTTGTGTGCGTTAATCCTAATGCCCCGCTCTTTTCTCTTGCCCCTAGAGCGAATAAAAACCCTTTTATTTATATGTTTCGTAAGGTGTCCTTACCATCATAGCGTTACAAAATAGAAAAAGAAATAAAACAAAGCTAAATTTTAAGTGATATCGTACGAAGCTTATCCGAGATTTGTTTTTCCAAAAATATCATCATGGGAAAGCTCATAAATGAGCATAAATAATGATGGATTATAGTCTCTTTCCTTTTGTCGTTCAAGTAATATTGATTAAAGGTCTGTTTGGGACAGCTTATAAGTGCGGGCGGCGTTTTCAAAAAGCCGCCGTACCATTTGGTTCGTGACCTTCGTCAGCTTATCCGAAATTGCATTTGGGTTTTTATGCTTAACGCAGGCCGCGGGTCGACCTCTGAGGCCGGCCCGCGGGCCGCGTTTCAGGATAAGCAGCTTAACTTGAAAAGAAACAAGCTGCCCCAAACGAACGCTAAAGCCCGATCTAATGGGCTTAGAAGGCCCATTTACTTGTGTGTTTCCTTGGTAGCTTAAGAAAGCCACTTTAGAATGTACAACCACTATCAGTAACTTCTAAAAAGTAAAATACACATTTTCATAGATAAGTCAAAAGATATAAATATAAGTTTTACATACATGCCACTCTATGTATTTACAAATCCAACACCTAACTTACAATTTTTACACATGCCACCACACATTACCCTTTTTAAAAGTCAAAATGACCGATATTTTTTATGTGATATAAAAGATTTGGCCGGTATAAATGTAACAAATAAATTTTATGTCATAATTGTAAAAAAATACGAAGTAGGTGGCATGTAAGTAAAAGCCCCTTTTACGAAAAAACCAATATCAAGTATATATTTAGCAAACACCCACAAAATCTTTTTCAAAATAATAATATTAACCCCAAGCAAAAAAAATAAAAAAAATAATAATAAATCAGCATTTCATAACCCATATTTTTTTTATCCATGCGAGATATCAAATAACCCTTTATCATTCAATTTCAAGTCATATAAAATGTTTATTTATTTAATCTAAAAAATTTTACAATCAAATCAAACGGCTTTATTTCCCACTATAGCCCATACCTTGGCCTGAGGTACTGCTGTGCTTCGGAGCTCCAGGGGAATTACTAGAATCAACCAGTTCCTCAAATAGTCTGTAGGAAGGTACAAATGGCTTATGAGAACCTCCAGGCACTGTTGGTCTGTGATTCGAGTTTGGCCGAGCTTCACCGGCGACGACCGGAGGTTTGCCGGCATTCATTCCAACCGAGTTATACTCCATCATATAAGTCGACTGTGCGAATGGATTGGGATTTGTGCTCGGCACATCCTCCCATGGAGGGGGCGGGTAATTGCTATACTGTGGTTGTTGTTCCGGTCGAAAGAGAAACTGAGGCTGCGGCGGAGACGAAGAAGGTTGAGATTGAGGCAAAGATGATGGGGGCGCCGCCGCCCAGCCAGCAGCATAACTATTAGAAGGCATGGGGTGAGTTTGGGGGCTCTGTGGGTTCCCATGAACATTTGTGGCAAAAGGATCTGCAGATCCATTTGGTTGAAAAGTGGGAGATGGAGCATGTGGAGTGATTGGTGTATGAGATGGTGATGAGTTTAAAGACAATGTCATGCGCAAGAGATCGATGATGTTTTGATCCTTTGCAGAGGTTTTAATAGGCGGCGGAGGATCAGGTAAAGCTAATGAGTGGCTTCCCGTGGAGGACGAAGCTTCGTCTGAACTCTGTTTACCGGCCGTCGTTGCATTGATTTCAGTAGAAGTTGACTTACTTTTCAAATTTCTGCAGAGTGACAAAAATGAAGGATTTGAATGTTAGGGAGTTATGGCATTGATAGGGAGATAATGCGAGATTCGAAACCTGCGAGCTAACTGAGTGAATTCATCATCTTCTTCTTCGTCCTCTTCAAAACTGTTGGCTGCAATGGTTGCAGATGCGATGGGAGGGCTCGACACAGGAATGAATTCAGATGATTCTTCTGGAAATGGAGAACCAGACGCTATCGAATCGTGTTTTGCAAGCAGGGTTTGTAAAGTATCATTTAATGCAAGCCCTTCTGCTAGGATCTCCTCGTCGCTGCAGGGGTTACAACATAAGCAAGGTTACAGAAATAACAGAAGTATTAGTTTCACAAAATGTCCGAACTTGCTTCATGGATTGAAGAAAGAAACAAAGAGCATTTACATACATAACATAACATTCTTATGTATTTACATATCACTTAAATATTCACATTTATATGCATACCACTCAAATTTTTAATACCACATCAACAATTCTTATGTATTTTCATGCATAAGTTCATGACACGAAAGCATAAGGGTGAATATCAATGTTTGGGTGCGAGATATGTAAATACATAAGAATTGAATGGTATGTATGTAAATCTCCCAAGAAAAAAAAAAAGCAAACAAGTTTTCCTGCGGACTAATAAAAACAATGGCTTAAAATCAAGTGAAGCTTTGACTGGAAATGACCGATAACAATATGATTGCTTTAGAACTAACCCAGTTGACTCAATCAATTGCAAAATCTTTTTCTGGTTGGAGCGACATTGGCCAACAAGCTCTTTGATAATTTCATCCTCAACAGCCTAGAAAAACGTTAATATAATGAGTTTCTAGAAAATTAGCTAAGTGCAGCTTATATTTTAATGGCAAAACAAAGATAGTACTCATGATATTTCAAACACTAAGCACATTATGACAGAAAGATTTCAATTTAGTCTCCAGTTATTTTTAATGGGGGCTAAAATGGTCCCGAGGGAGAATTATTTTAGCCTATATTAAAAGAATTTGAATCGTCCCAAGGGAAAATTATTTTAGCTTATATTAGAAGAGTTTGATGACTAATTTGACACTTTTATAGAAGCTGGGGCTAAAATGACACCATGTAAATAGTCAGAGGACTATTTTGACATTTTAATCTTATGACAACTAGGCATACCTCGCGATCATGTGGATTCACAGCTTTTAACATATCATTTAACAGCTCCATGACACTCCTGATTCTATCCAAGTCCGATAAACTGAACATTGCAAAACAAAACTTTCATCCAGTTAGCAGGAGAAGATGTGCATAAAAACATCATTGCAACCAAGCCTAAGAAAATCTCAATAAAATGAAGGAAGATTTACATAAATACCAATCTATTATTATGTATTCTAATACCTAAACTTCAATTTTGACACCATAAAAAGGTGTATTTCATTTTTTTTAAAAAAAGTTAAAATGAAAGTATTTTTTATGTGATATGAAATATATGATTGTCATAAATGTAAAAAATAAAACTTCAACATTAAAAATAAGTAAATACATAGGAATTGGGTGGCATGCATGCAAATGTTTATCACAAGGCCATTTAGAGAGCGGAAGAGAAGGCCACCTCAAATTAGCAATTTCCGATGCCATTGCTTGATCAAGCCTCATTGGCAAATCACTAGGCACACCATGCCCGATATAAGGAGTTCTAGCAATGGCAGCTTGATGCGTAGGTGAAGTGAAGAGCAAAGTAGCATCGCTAGGGTGATGTGGAAATTCAACACCAGATCTCTGCGAAAAAATTACCTCATGAGATAAGAGCTTGTTAAGGATTAATTTTCTCTTTTATTGTTATTTTTATTTTGTTATTTTTTGAAAAGCATATTTGTTTAGTATATTTTTTTACATGCATAAACTCAGAACTTTTACCAGAGGCCATATTGGACAAAAAATCGTTGGGATAAAGCTAAATGATGATGATGATGGGTCAGATTTAGCCAAGTTTCAGCTGAAAGCTAAACTTTGCCTCATGGTAGAAGAAACCACAAGCTAGGAATACAAATAGTACCTTTAGATCAGTATAAGCCCAGAAGTACTGTGGATACTTTCCTCCAGAACCGCCAAAAGCCTCTTGCCAGGAATCCAGCAATACTAAAATTTTATCTCTCACTTCCATATCAGTCTACAGAAATATATAAACAGATATTAATAGTTAACAAAAAAAAAAAGTACGATACCTATAAAACAAATTATCAAAAGCGGCATTTACATACATATCACACAATTCTTATGTATTTACTTATTTAACACCTAAAATTTCATATTAACATGCATTACACTCAAATCTTTAACTTCACATCAAAAATACCACTTTTGCTTACTTTTTAAACGAGAAATACACATTTTCATGCATAGGTTATGACACCAAAGAGTTATAAATGTAAATATAAAAGTTTAAGTGTTAGATACGCATATACATATGAATTGTAAAGTATGCATGTAAATTTCCCTAAAAAAAACCATTCCTACCAATCTATAGGATTATTTAAAAGTACGTTCTTGTGTGTACCTACATATGTGTCAATCTATGTGTGCAAGAATGCGTGAGAAATACAGAGCATATATGAATGTGTATTGCCGTGTGTCGCATATATTGTTGTGCCTAAAGCACTGAAAAATAGGGGTTAACTGACTTAAGTTGACAATTAGAAGGGTTATTTTAGTAAACAAAACCATGATCAACTTAATATCACATATGTCACAAAAACAAAAATTAAAAAGACATACACTTCAACATATACACAAATCCTGTCTAAACAAATCAACACAAAGCTCAAGGTTTGAAAGCCTGTGTGCAAGTACAGAAACCATTCCTTGAATTGGGGAAGCAATTTGTCTGCCACAACAAGTTCCTTAGCTAGAAAATCGTCATTAACCAATTCCTAATGTCGATTGAGAATAATAATGCAAAAAGAAATTATAATGATCCTACCATTCCAATTAATGGAATATTCTCCTTCCCAGTTTCAGTTTTACATGAACGCCTTTTCATAGATATAAAAGCAAAATCAAAAAGAAAAAAATGCAAATTGGTAGCTATTTAGGCAGCCACCTCAATGGATGCAAGTCCCAAGAGCACATAGAATAAAGGGATGAGGGTGGATGAGGTGATGGAAACTTTTTGTTAACGTGTTATTGACCTCTTTCTCAAAGCTATTTACAGTAAGATTAATCCATTCCAAGTAGTTCCAATGATCTAGATTTGTTTGATGTTCCAGAACACAAGTCTTCTCTTTTCAATGATTCCAGACTTGTCTTGTTATCCCATGACTAGTTGGCACGTACTTTACATGTTGGCACTGTCAAAATAGTCAGCATGTCACATGGCAACTTGTTAGCAGCTATCAATAAGCCTTTTGACACAATGACACTAACATGTCACACTATATTATCCTTCAACCCATTAACATTTATAAACTCCCCGCCAGCCATTAAACCCGTCAAGTTCTCCACTAAAAAGTCAAATTCTTGCATATAGGTGTCGACATCATAATCCTTTCAAGCACATCTCAACAGATGATAGGACTAAATTTTATCGTATCAATCTTTTTAGCGTCCAGCTCATCAACACAATTGTTATCTGCATTATCATTGCCTCTTTGTTACATCGATCCATGACTTTAATTCCTCGGTTCTCATCCTACTACTGAAATTTCTCTCCATAGCTCATTTCTATTTCCATACAATGTGCAATGAGATCTAAAAACTCTCTCGATCACCTTGTCATTTCTAACTATTAAAAATTATATTAAGAAATAATTTATTCCTGTTAGAAGTTATGAAGATTAAATTTATTTCTTTGGATTGGATTTATTTCTTTTTATATTTTAGATTTAGTCTCATGAATTAGATTTATTTCCTTTGCTATTTTATATTGTTTCATTTATCTCCAAGTAATTATTATAAATAGATTAATTGAAGATATAGGTGTTATATCTTTCATTTCCTATTATTTTCTTTATTGTTTTTCCTATTCTAGAATTTATGTAAGGCGTATTTACACCCCTTTTTCATATCAATAAAAAAATTCTGTAGAATTCTGAAAGCGACATTGTATTAGAACCTTCAAACAAACCCTAAAGTCTCCTACAGCTGGAAACTTCCGATTCCCTGCATCCGACAATTTCTGCTATGCTGCAGGCCCTTCCTCCGCATCCTCTTTTCAGTTTTCCCATCGGAAACTCTCTCCTGTAGGCCTCGCCATTGGAATTCCCTTTTGCAGCCTTTCCCATCAACGAAGCTCCCTCCTACAACCTTTCCAGCAATCGGGATTCCCTCCTGCAGATTCTAGTCATCCAAACTCTCTCCCTGCAAACCCTAGAAGCTAGAAACTTCCTTCTTTCCCTGCATTTTTTTCAGTTGGCGGTCTCCTTCCTTTCCTGCAGATTTCAGCCGGCGGACTCCTTCCCTATAGATTTCAGTCAGCGGTCACCTTCCTTGCAGATTTCAGCCGCCGGTTTCAACCGCCAGCAATCCTTTATGTAGACTTTGCAGCGGACTCTTTTCCCATTCTATGTTTCTTGTTCTTTCGACGAAGAAGGTGCCTTCCAGCTTTTAGGAGATTGTTGGCATAATAGTGTTTTGAACAAGATACTCTTTTCTAGTTTCTCTTCTCCCAAATTGGGGAGAAACACATGTTGGTGATTGTCAGCTTCGTTATAAGTGAGATTCAACATGATTGGTTTTATCTAAATCATTTCTCCTCCGCTGACTATATCGGAAATCCAAAAGGCAACGACTAGTTTGGTAAGCAAAAGATGGGATACGCATAACATTGCCTGTTTGCCATGGATGGACTGGTTTCATGGGGGACTACAGTTCTAGGGAGAACATCATTTGTTTCCCCGGCTTCCAAGATGTCAACTTAGGAGAATTGCTCCTTTAGTGAAGGAGCTCTATAAGAAGCATAAGTTGCAGAGAAAACTCCCTACGGGATTCTTTCTGCATGCAAGTTCTTCACTGGAACTCTTCAGTTGAGCAACAGAAAATTCAGTGGCAGATCCCTTTCCAACGGATTCTTCCTGAAAACTTTTTCATTGAAACTCTCCTATCCAACAGCAACAGCAACAGCGGCAGTAGGTTCTCTCCCTACAGGTTGCAGGTCTTTCCACTAATGTTGAAAACCCTGCAAAAAATCACAATAAGTTTTAGGAGACAAATGTCGTGCCCATCAAATGCTTTGGGGTACAACAAAAGTTATTGCTCATTGCGAGCTGAAATACATGACTGCTTAAGGGCAGATGTTCTTTGTTCACCGACGACGGCGATAGCAACTAGATCACTAGCTCAAGTGTCGACTCCTCTTCCACCATCCTCGGTACAGAGCTTCCCTTAGAAAACATTCGACGATTTGTCCAGTCTCAGGTCGTGCCACATGAGACCACGCTGGGGCTTCTCTTATGGCTTCTTTTATGCGTCTTAATGTGTTTCGCCTTGCTCTACAAATACTGTCATTTTGTCTGGTTTCTATTTTATGTCTCGAAATTGACTGTGAAGATTTTTAACGCGCTCTTCGCGAAGTTCTGAATCTTCTTAGGCATGGAATCCCAGCAACCGACTTATAAACCCTCCTCCGAAGTTTTTTCCTGTAGCAAGCCCTCCTCAAGAGTTTTTCCTGCAGCAGACCCCTCCTCTAGAGTTTTCTCCTACAACAAGCTATCCTCTGGAGCTTTCTCCTGTAGCAAGCCCTCCTCCGGAGCTTTCTCCTGCAGCAGACCCTCCTCCGGAGCTTTCTCTTACAGCAGACCCTCCTACGGAGCTTTCTCCTACAGCCGGCCCTCCTCCGGAGTTTTTTCCTGTAGCAAGCCCTCCTCAAGAGTTTTTCCTGCAGCAGACCCCTCCTCTAGAGTTTTCTCCTACAACAATCTCTCCTCTGGAGCTTTCTGCTGTAGCAAGCCCTCCTCCAGAGCTTTCTCCTGCAGCAGGCCCTCCTCCAGAGCTTTCTCTTACAGCAGACCCTCCTACGGAGCTTTCTCCTATAGCCGGCCCTCCTCTGAGTTTTTTCTTACATCAGCCACTCCTCCGAAAACTTTCCTGTATCAGACCCTCCTCCAACGCTTTTTCCTTTTTTTTGTGTATACTATACCCTACAGTTTTTCCTGTTAGTTGTCTACTTCCCTGTAAACTTTCCATCAGCATTACCTGTAAAAGTCTTCCGCCTACCTAGAAACACTATAAAAACTATAGTAAAAGAGAACCGCTGTCAGCCAAAAGTCAATTTTTCATGTAGATTGTTTACTTCCCTGTTAACTTTTCTGCAACATTACCTGTAGAAGTCTTTCGTTTACCTACAGACACTGCATAAATTGTAGTAAAAAACAACCGTAATCAACAAGAAGTATCCCTAAATGCTCTTAGGGTTGAAGACTTCAAGTTCTACCTCACAAAGTTTCTTTCTCGCCCGTTGTTTGATGTTTTTCAATCAAAGTTGAACTTGGTTATCAATCATGTTTCAACTTGTTGGGGAGTATTAGAAATTATATTCAGAAATAATTTATTTATTTTAGAAATTATGAAGATTATATTTATTTCCTTTCCTATTTTTGATTTATTCCCATAGATTGGATTTATTTTCTTTCCTATTTGATGTTGTTTCATTATCTCCAAGTAATTATTAGGAATTGATTAATTAGAGATATATGTGTTATAACTTTTCTTTCCTGTTATTTTCTTTTTTTGGTATTTTTTAATATAGAATTTATATAAGGTGTATTTATACCCAATTTTATATCAATAAAATAATTATGTTGAATTGTGAAAATCAACGCTACCAATTCTAAATGCACGACAATCGAGACTTGGTGATCTCTTCTAGTTTAACTCTCCATACAGACCTGCCAGCTCAAAAGAGGAGGACGCCTCATTTTTGGCACATTATATAACCCTTAACTTTTAAGCGCATGAAGCTCTAACTCTTGGCTATCCAGGCACCTTGCAATATACCGAACACTTCAATACTTTCAAGGATATTTCACTCCAAACTCTCCTCCCTCATGCTCGTCAACTTCCCTTCTTGTTGGCACAAGTCTTGTTTTCTCCCTTTATCTCTATAAGTTAAGTTGCAATATCCATTCCAACAGAACGTTTATGGCCCGATCTCCTTCTATTTGGCTAGAAGTTCTTTTTGTCCCATGCCTTTTCATAGTACACTTGTTATTGGTGTATTTCCCACAAGTTTTTTTTTTATTTTTTTTTTTATTTTTAAATATCATGCCTGCTCCAACGTGCGAGCCAGGAACTCTAGCATTTGGATGCGTCACCAATTCCAGTGCAACAATCAGCTTTCGATCTGATATATTTTACCTCATTCCCAAGCAAAGTCACCCAGCATTTTCAAACCCTAAGGTTACAACCCCAAACAAGGTCTTGTCCCTTTCATATTTCTAGCACTTTTGTGTGAACCTTCTTAATCTCCATCTTCGCAATCTCTAAGTACTTCACCCCCTTCTTGTCTGTCATCATAAGGTGGTAAGGCAGGATCAGCCACACCCTAGAATATGCTCTAGACTTTTGCAGGATACCCTAACTATAGAAATCACATTTAACTTGTGGCATTAACGAGAAAAACAAGCCCAAAAAGAGGAATATTCAAGGATATCCATCCTCAGAATCTCTTTGCATTTCACTTTGAATAAGATAACAACTAGATAGTATAACACCTAGTGAGATAAGATAATAAAAGGTAAACATAAGTGAAATTGGCACATATATTGGAAAGTATAAAATGCATCAATAAAACAAGTAAACAAAACTATCGTGAAATGATAAGAAAGTAAACACCTATAGCAATCCTGTGATGATCACAAAAGTCTTCTAGAATTATCACCATATAGCATACAATAAGCATAATTAGAGAATAAAGATTCATAAAGCCAACCTCAAATAATTTGGACAAGGCCAATGATGAGAATAATGGCTACTATTTTTACCTGATATGATAGCATTCTTAATTTGTAAAGTGTGATACTGCACTTCAGTTATATGGCAAACATGACATTACCAGATATTAAGCTGTGTTATTACCTCTGTGCTGCAAAAAGCTATATTGTCCAACAAAAAAAAAAGAAATGTTCAAAATATATCAGCTCAAAACATGGAATTTTACAGAACATAAAAAACCACAATTTCATAACATTTACAGAACTAGCAAAAAGAAAAAAAGAAAAAAAAAGATTACCTTTTTCTTAACAATTTTAACCATTTCCTGCAGAATATCCCTCTCAAAAACTTGGAAGTGAATAAAATCACCACAATTCTTAATCATCGTTTCTAGAAGCTGCAGTGGGTCCATAAAAGATAAAAAATATCATAAAAAAATAATAACATTCAAAACATAAGGCTCTTTGCTGGAGAGAACATGCAGCTATCATGAAGTAATGAGTAGGTGTCCTCTTATGCCTAATGCAATTCGTTTAGCAAAGGAATGAAGAAATCATACTGTTAATGCAAGAAATTGAACCCGTGGGTTTTTGTGTTGCAGTCGCTTCTTCACAGATTTGACAACTTCTTTCGCCAGCCTATTACATTTGAAGTATTAGTTTAGAATTTCATAATAATACAATTGCATCTACAAACAAAAACAGAACATGGTACACCAAAATCTTCTTTTTAATAAGAAAGGAAGTACAAAATTTGTTCGGTGTCAAGAAGGACAAATGACAACCTTCAAAACAACTTTATTATAAGTAATTTTGGGTAATTCCAAAAAAAAACTCACACAAGAAGTAACCAACATATTCACAACTAAAATTACAAATTAAATATACAAAAGGAGCACTTAAATAGTTAAGCCAAACACCTTCTTGCAAGAAACTAATGCATTAAGTATCATCTAAGCTTATAATACATAGATATGGGTAACATCATATATTTTTCTACACCAATCACTCACAGCAATTCGGCAAGCATATCACAATTTACCACATCTAAACATAGTAGATTATAAGTTTTGGGTAAAGGCATTATCACATTCATAACTCAAACAAGCATCTCTAAGGATTTACTAATAAGTGTCAAAATAGTCCCCAGACTATTTACATTAGCTCTTCTAGCCCCATAGTTATAAAAATGCTCAATTAGTCCCTGAAATGTTTTAATGGGAACTAAAATTGTTCAAACTGGGGACTATTTTAACCCCATATTAGAAAAGCTGGTGGACTAAATTAACACTTTTATAAACTCTGAGACTAAAACGGGCCCTTCAAAAAAGTCAGGGCAGGGGACTATTTTGACACTTCTCTTATTTACTGGCATGAAGGCCCCTTCATACAATACATAAAATATGATTTGTATTACAGCGTCAATTGGCTTCTCCTAAATTAAGACAAATGCATCATATAGAATATGGTACTTGTGTGATTGGAGCCAATGCCTTATTTCTCATTAATTATATTTCATGCAATTGTACAAGTTATGAAACAACACTTTGCCTTTTATGAAGTATGTTTAAAGCATTGAAATGACAAAAAGTGAAATATATCAAGCTAAAAGTCTATCAGAAATATCACAACATGAAAAATAGATCTGCAATATTAAAGATGTAACAAGTCTAAGAACTGTGTAATATAGAAACTGGACGTCAAAGAAATCCAAGCCAAGTCCCCATCAATAAAAATAATAATAAGTACTTTTATCATAAAGAATAGCCTACATGACTAAATAATGAGTTTCAAGAGCTTTACTCAAAAGGACTGAAATTCATCAAAATTGAAGCAGAAAAAGGTTTACTATGGATCATTCAACCACACACAAATAAGCAGAATATAGAATATTTAAATTAGCAAATCAAACAATAAGCACATAGCTTTTATTCCAAATTAACTGAAATTTAGTTTTCATTAGGTCCAGTATCTACCTCAAAACGTATACCATACTAGTTAAATTCATCCATACAAGATATCGGAAATGGTGGCGCATCTCCACAAATTGGAAATTAGCCAACAACTAGCAATCATCCAGACGAAAACCTCAGACACGCATCAAATCACCGTCTCACTCTAAAACCGAACAGGTAAATCATCAATAGATCAATCCTTCAGACACCAAGTGCCTTAATCAAACAAAATATAAAGTAGAAAACTTTCAATGAAAGAAAACAAAAATCAAGACAAGACAGCTTCCAAATTACAGCAAGCAATAAATCAACCGAACCATCAGGCAAATTCAAACAAAATTCTCTGACATATAAACCACCGCCAAAAGTTAAAAGAGCAGTCACCCGGGATCGGAATTGATGGAGTCGCATATTTCCATATTCATGGTCCAATCCGGCCCCAGCAGCAGATCGCTCGTCGCCTTATCCACACGAACTGTCGCCGATGACGCCATCTTCCTCCTCCGAATCCAATTCCGAACCCAACAACAACACGCAATATACCACAAACAAGAAGAGAAAGAAGAAGAAGAAGAAGAAGCTATCGCCCAGAAGAACAACACCCTCTGAAGCCCGTCAGGCCTTCCGGCATTACCGTATAAAGAATCGCCTTCATGCGAAGGATTTGTCTTTTGTTGCACAGAGATTCGTGGCAGCTTCTATAAGGGTTATCGTCGCCGAGTGGAATACGGGAGATGGAGTCTGCCGAGGCCGGAAAATGAGGACAAATTACAACGGCGGTCGACCTGGCCCACCACGGCCTTGCTTTTTGGTTTTTTTTAAAAGGGCCGCACACAACTTTTATGTATTTACATATTTGCCATTTTAAATTTACTTTTTAATTATATTAAAAAAAATATTACTATTTCAAGTTTTTAAGTTTAAAGAAAAAATGCAAAATATATCTTTCCATGCATAATAAATATATAAGCATTTTGTAGTATGTTAGATTTTGGTTAACTTTAAATATGGATTATCATACATAATTAGTTGTACAATAATAGATATAAACTTTATGATGGGGTCAGTATATATGGTCAAAAATGTTATTGGCTTGAATATGTAGATGTTAAGGGTCTGTTTGGGCAGTTGCAGTTTATTGAATAATCCGCTGATAAGTAAATTAAAAATAATCTGTTGATAAGCTAGGTGCAGCGGCTATTACAATTTTTTATTTTTTTAGAAAAGTCAGATCACTGCCAGAAAACTACTACTACAAATAGATAGGTGCGGTGTTAAAACGTTATTTTCAGCGTTTTAAAAACGCATAAGTTGTCAAAACACCGTTTACCCAAACATGTCAGGTGCATTTTTAAAACGTCACAGCATTAAATAAGCTGCCCCAAACGGACCCTAAGTCACCAATGACATGTGCATTATTACTGCAAAATTTGTATCTATTAGAAAAACTTATCGTATTTGTGTATGAAGAGAATAGATGTAGCAAAAAGCACCTACAAATGAGATTATGAATATCATTAAAGTTTTTCCAACAAGAATTGAATGTAGAGCCTCAAAAGTAACAACTCATTCGAAAGAAAATCAGCCAGGTTGGGAAGAAGTCTTGTAACGAGAGTAAGAAAAGGTTTGAAAATGTCTAAAATTGAGAACAAGAAACCAATGTATTGGATCTCATGGGGGCAATAATCATTGAATTTACATCTTCCTGGTTCAACGGCAGCCTAAAGCTTTAACTTTACTCATCTAGCTAACTAAAGAGGATTGAGCAGGTTTGATGTGTGCTGGAAAATTAGTGGTTGTAGAGTAGATGATTATCGTTTTAGCGTTGTACGAGGATTCAACACGCACTCAGATGAAAAGTGAAATAACATGTGATGATACAAAAGTTTTTACGTAGAAAACCCGTAAAGGGAAAAAAATTTCTGGGCATGACCCAGTTATAAAAATCCACTATAGATTAATGATTACAGAGTTTCTTTGTCACATAGAAGGGAAATGGTTGCTAGCTTTCTAAGTTACAAATTTGACTAACGGCGTCTCGTCAACTGTGGTCGACGGAGGTGGATGGTGATCGACGGTAGTCAATGTCAATCAATGACGGTCGGCGGTGGTCGGCGGTAGTCGATGGTGGCCGACGATGGTCGACAGAGGTCGGCGGTGGTCGACGATGACAGGGATAATGTTGGACTTAAGCTCTTTCTCGTAGCCTCAAGTTTTCTCTCAAGCCCTCCTCCCCCATGTGAGGGGTGGGACTCTATTTATAGTGTTCTAGGTGCAATTAATACAAGAATATGAATCATTGTGATCGGACGGTCGGGAGAGTTTCCTTTGATCAGATGGCGTTCGATGAATAGTTAAGTGTCTTAACGATGTCGGAATTGAGCAATCTTAGGCTCGTTGGATTCGTCTTGTCTAGATGCTCAATTTGACTATGAAATCGCAAGATTCGATATCCGTTTGACCTTTCAAATGTGTTCGGAAATCCTTCAGAAGTAGTTTAATGATTTGATCTGGGCTTGATCTAACCCGGATTGGACTAGTTTTTATATCATTGGGTCATTATCATCGAGCTGGTTAGTTTTATTATAATTTTACTGAAATCAGAGCTCTGGATGACTTTTTATCAAGATTTGAATATTTATTGCTCAAAATATTGCCTCAAGATTCATGTCGGATGATAAAAATTTATTTGTAGTGTATCAAGGCTGATGGTGAGAGAAGTTCATTACAATGACAAATAAGTATATGATTGATGGTGAGACATATTACTTTTAAATGTGTGTGTGTGTCCCTAAAATCATTATACAAGTTTGTGTGTCTACGATAAAACTTGATAAGAACCTTTATTAAATCATTTAGTAGAATTCCTAGCTTAAAACTTTGTCTCTTATAATTAAAATTAACAAATTTTTCATTTTATTTATCCATATACTTTGATTTAGAAACATGTCACTATTTAGTCCCACATCATGTACAACATTCAAATTTCTTGGCATACAAGGGTGTTTATTTAGATGGAATACAAAAGCAACAACATATACATTTACATTCTTACTCCCAAATTCTTATGCATTTACATATCTCACCCCTAAATTCTATTTTTTACACTTATGAGACCCAATTTCTAAAAAACTATGTTTTTTTTTTAATTATTGTAGTTATATAATATATATTTTTTTATAAAAAAGATTATACGACATTTTATATAATTATCTTATTCTTAAATTTTAAATTATATCCAAATAAAAATATACTATTTTTAATAAAATAATTTATGAAAAAAAAAGATTTACATACATATCACTCAATTTTTATGTATTTACATAATTAACCTCTAAACTTCAATTTATACATGCAAACCACCTAGCCAATGCATGAAGATGTGTATTTCACTTTAAAAAAAACTAAAATGGTCACATATTTATGTTACATTAAAGATTTGGATGGTATAAAAGTAATAAAAAAAGAGTAAATTAAAGGTGTTGGATAACACAAATTGTGTGGCATCGATGAGGCTGCCAAAAAAGTTTATTGTTCGTGAACAACTTATGTTTAGCTCGTTAAGTAGCTCGTGTTCGGGTAAACAAGTCGAACACAAACAATTATTTGTTCATGTTTGGCTTGTTTTAGCTCGAAATAAAAAAAAAATCATATAATAATTTATATTCATATTATTTTTATAAAAATATATTATATATATTTATATAAAAAATTAAATTATAATCGCTTGTGTGATAATGTGGTTACGTGTCTTCTTTTGCATAGATTTGGTCTACGTTCAAATCCAACAATTCATATCAATTTTTTTTCAATTAGTTTTAACGAGTCAAACACAAACAATAATATTTAAATCAAGTCGAATACGAACACACTGCTCGCCAATTTTGAACACGAACAATTTCAAACGAATCGAACAAGCTTAGCCCACGTATCACTGTCTTAAATGCAAATTAAATTTTTCAGTAAAAATTGGCGCAAACAATTTCATATTCAATTAGCACCTTAATTTATAGCTTCGTCCTTATCCACAAAAGCTGATTCGCATCCACCACTTTTTTAAACCTCGGTCCCACGCATTAAATTTAAAAAACTTAAGGGGTACTTAGGAATACCAAGGACAAAGCGATATTTTAAGAGGAGTAAAACTGATACTTCAGGAGGGGTAAATGATCAGATTGTCCTTTCATACAAGTAAAAACCTGAACCATTCCCTAGCCTGCCTTTGTACATATCACGCCACTGAATTTTCATAGTTGTACACAAAACACTCAAAATCTTTAATATTGCATAAGAAATAGCCATGTTATCACTTTAAAAATAAAATACTTATTTTTCATGCATAAATTTAATAGTGGCAGTGGTGGCTCAATTTGTTCCTAAGATGGTGTTCTTATGGCTGTGGTAGCGCGACGATGGTGGTCCGACAGAACAACAATGGCATGGTGATGGAGGCTGATGATGTTGGTGATGACTCGACATTGATCAAGTGTTGGTGGTCTAGTGGAGATGGCAACCCAACAACATTGGTCTGACACGATGTCAATGATCTGATGATGGATATGTATGGGCATCTATTGTTCTATAGAAAAGGCAGACTGATAAAATTGGCTCGACTTCAATGGTCTGACGTGACGTTGACGCTCCATAGAGATTGTCTAGCAATGTCAACCGGATAATAGCGGTCTGACTATCATACATATAATTTACATATGAAGTTGATCAAGATCTTAGTTTTATTTTAATTTAATTTTTGTGACCATTAAGTTTTGATATAGGTGGCTTCAATAGCTTCAGAAATGAATTAGCTACCTCATTGCACATCAAATCTTAGTTGCTGGTTAGAATGGATGCCAGAGCAGGTGAGCGGGCGAGTGGGTTATACACTCTTCATAAAATAAAGTGTAAGTTATAAGAGATAGTCGTTATTAACATCAATTTTTGATGTCACGTACAATGAGTGTCTATTTAAACAACACGAGAATTTTTCCAGCTTCACACCGTCAAAGACACGCCATCAGACCTTTTGGTGTTTGTCCTGAGTGCAAAATCAGGATCAATACCTAATTGACCCTACCTGGGATTTAACCTTAAGGTGGTGTTAACTATGACTCTTGGCATGTTTTATGTCTGTTCTAATGTTAAGAGACCCAACTCCATCAATTCAAAGTCTTCTGAGGCCAAGGGTGGTCATCTAAATTCGCCACACATATTTTGAAAAATTTTGGGTTTGGAACAATTCTACCCCCGCAGTCGTCTGGGACGCTCTTTGCCAATAAATACCCTAGTTTGAAACATCCAAAATGCTCATTTTTGAGTTACAGGATCATAATTTAGTGATACATATTTTTTCCCTATTTTCAGATAGTTGAGGACCTTCTTACGGTCATCTGGGCAAAAGTTAGGCTTTGGAATACCCTCCCCTTGCCAAGGTCCAGGGAGGTCATTGGTGACGATTTCCCCGATGAATGAGCAATCAAAATACTCATTTTGATGTTACGAGACCATATATAAGTAATACATAATCCTCCGTAGCTTACAGATCTAAGAAACCCTCCATCGGACGATCTACACAAAATTAGGGTTTTTGGGCTAAACTGAAGCCTAGGCGCCCAAAATTGCATTCTGGAGCAAATTTCGAAGCTCTGGGGAAGTAGGTGTTTACCTAGTGGCGCCTAGGTGCTAGATTAAGCACTAGGGGTTGGTCATGGGCGCCTAGGCATCCAAAATGCCTAAAAAAAACAACACATTCCCCCATGTAGCCGACATTTGGGATCTCATTGGCTAATGGAAGATTGCATGGGAGAGGCAAAAAGGAGGCTCGTGATGTCACTTTTTGACTGATTTTGAAATTTTCCTATGGTCTAATCAAGCTTGTTATGAAAAAATTGGAGGGAAGGTTGGTTGGCTTGGGTTTAAGCTTGGCTAGCACATTTACTTCTCCTATCTTCTATTCATTCTCTTATACCAAGAGCTGATGCTTAGGACAAATAAAAAACTCTGGGAGAAAGCTTCTTCGAGCAAGGAGTTTAGAAAGCCTTTTCATCTTCCTCAAGGAGAGAAGCTAAACGGTGGGTCTTCCAACATCTTCTTCACCTTCTTCCTCCCTCCTTTTCTCCGGCAAACTCCTCCTCTCTGACTAACTTTTCAGAATCAAGGATAGGAAAGCTTCATCCTAGTTTGTGAGAAGGTCATAGAGCGACAAACTCATAATCTTCTCCTACAACGAAGGGGAGCTTCATATTTCTTTGAAGAAGGAAATCTCCAATGGACTTGAAATTTTCTCTTAGGCAATGAGAGCTTCTTCCCTATGTTGGAGAAGGTTTCCGGTGACCGCGGTGTTCTCTCTGATGAGGAGAGTTTCCTCACCACTTGGGGGAAGGAATTTAGCTTTGCCACCTCTCCTACGATGAGGAGAGCTTCATCCATGACAAAACAGGATTTTGATCAGTCATCGCGTAGGTGAAATCCTTCTAAGACCTTGTTCTTTATTTTTCTAGCTATCCCTATGTTTGTGTGGAGAATTTTAGGGCTAGGTTGTTGTCTTCCTAGAGAAAGTTGCTAGGATAGGGAAGTTTTAGCTGGACAAAGTACCCTATGAACCTGAGTGATATCCTTGCAAAAAACTTTAGCTTGAACCAAAATCGGTCGAAATCCGTATTTATTCTGGCTTTGGTGGTTACAACTTTTCTTAGAAGGTTTGGAACATTTGGATTTTTGTAGAATGAAAAAAAAACATTGTAGCTAGTCAATTTCACAAAATCGTGGAGAGTTGTAAAATGTGAAAAACATTATAGCTAGTCTATTCTAAGAAAACTGTGGAGAGTTATTTTCTTAGAGAAATCACAGAGAGAAAAAATCCTCACATTCCTCGCCAAAGCCAGAGGAGGCTATTTTGCACATCGTACACTAAAACCTAGGCTCTATTGTGAGAGTGCTAAGACGGGAATGGCTCGCTATGGAACATTAGCATGTGCATTGCATCATATGTTATATCATGTTGTATGTTTGCATCTCACATTTTGTATGTGCCACATTGGCTTGAACGACCATTTCGGCTTGTCAACTTAGCACTTTGGTTCGACTGGCCTTCTCGGCCTGGTCAACTGATCACTTTGGTCCGGCTGGTCACCCTGGCTCGATCACCCGACCTGTTGGCGTTAATTTTTGATGTCACATGTGTAGGTGTCCACATGACTGGCTCAGGAAGATTCACTGCTCACTTGTAGCATCTGATAGCTCGAGATATCCATTTAGGACCTCCAATATATGTTTGGGGGACAAAACCAGGGTTTGCGATGATTTGACCCCACCAGGGAGAACCTACACTTGCACGAAGGATATTGGATGTGTTTGATATCCATTCTGGTGTTAAGGGCCCTGTCTGTGTCAATCTAGAGCTTTCCTGGTCAAGGGAAGTCACGGGGCCCTCTTACGCTCATTATGGGAAACAAGTGATGTATGCCCTAGGCATTCGTTCTTCCCTTGCCTGATCTAAAGCAGGGTCTCTATATCCTTCTCTGGTTTATGTAATTTAGCAAAGTGTGTCAGGAATAGCTTCTAGAATCTGAAGAACAACGGGATGCCTCCATCTGACATACTATTAAACTATTAGAGCAAAGAATCTTTTAGCACAGTCAGGAACATCCAACACTTCATGGCATCAACGATCAATAAACTCTAACCCTTGAATCAAAAGAGGCGATGTGATCAGCATGATCACTCTTTCACTCTTTCCTTTATAGGAGCAGAAGTGAGAAATCTTGAGTTTCATCGGGGGTATTTTTCCTAGGATCCTTCGGGAGAAGGCGCTACCCATAACCGGTCGAGCGAATGTTCCCGCTCGGTCCATTCAATGTGGGACTGCCAACGTAAATGCAGTGATGTCTGCAAGTTGAGAATCTTCTGGCACTTTGGCAGGGCAGTTGGTGGGTCAGCCTTGAGGCGTTGACAGATTGTCAATGGGAGTCTTGTGGAGGCAGGTTCCCCGAGACTCTCCTTCCATGGGCCGTGTACGAGCATTTTGCAAAATTATGACTCCTAAAAGAGTCCCGAATTGGTTCATTATTTGTGTTCGCAATGCCTGTACCTCTTTCTGTATGTCTCGGTGCGCCGTCTCTTTGTTGAACTTCATGGAACTATTTTTCTTTGCAGGGATCCTCCTTTGTAGTTGGCTCCGCTTCTCGCTCAAGGCATGTCCACGCTCACTACACCACTTTTAGGATGTTGAATCCTAAGTTATCTTTTGTGAACACATCTCACGAGTTAGAGTTGGGAGAAGGAGGAATATATGTAGAAAGAGAGTAATTAAGCAAATTTTTGCTGAGAAAACGGGGAAAAAAATCATTTCATTCGTCTTTTCGCCTCTTTTTTATAGAAGTGTATTTGTACAATTACAGAAAGAAGTAAAATATTATGGAAACCCCTTTTAATGTGATTAATTGTGCTAATTTTATAACAACTATGTATTACAATTTGAATTTGAGTTTGACGACGACTGACTAGTTAACACATTTTTATTTAGTAGACTAGTGCGACCGTTTGGATGGCGGTTGCATTTGCCCAAGTAAAGAATCGTCGGCCGACTAGCTCCGATCGAACACCCTTGTAAGAATCATCTAGGCAATTGGGACTGCGGGTACGATCCGCTGATCGAGTCTCTCGTCATAATATGTCGGCTGACTCCGACCGAACGACCGACCATAAAGTGAACGGTTCAGATCATGCTTTTATGGTTAGTTTCCTCGATCATCTGTAAATACGTCACTCAATTGCTTTGAGATTTAAAGTAATATTTGCTTAAATATCCAGCCAAATGATCATTTTGGACAAGTTAAATCACCAAATTTACTAAATTCAGAGCTCACTCATTTTCAGCGTAAATCTCGGATTTAGTAAATTCGACCATTTCACTATAAATCCGAAAACATGCATTGAGAATAAATAGAGCGAACAGACTCACCTTATTCAATGCTTTTCGGAGAGTTGTGGACTCAGATCAAAATGAAAAAAAAAACGATGAGAGTTTCAGTGGCCTTTGTACGGTGTGATCTCGTCGTTGCCTTTCTAACTCACTACAATAGCACTTGTATTGCCTGATTCAGTCACACAGGCAATGGCTTTGGTCGAAATCGGGAGAGGGAGAGATACATTAATTAGTAATTCATTAATAATATTATCTAATTTGTTATAATTAGATTAATTTATTTGTAATTACTTAACAGCTTCTTAATTAAAATAACATAGTATGCATGTCAAAATGCATAGGAATTGAGTAATATGTTATATATAATATAACTAATAAACCCCTAAAATAATAATTCTTCCCATTTTCTAATATTTATTTGAATTTATCAATTCAACATTTAATTACCCATTTATTTTAGCGTTTGAACTTTGAAGTTTGCTTGATTAAGGAATAAATTATAGACAAATTGATTTACATTCAATATAGTGCCATTTACATACATACCCCCCAATTCCTATTTATTTACATATCCAACAACTAAAATTTAATTGCTTGCATTTATAAAACCTAAATTTTTCACATCAAATCAAAATTAAGCACCACTATTTTAACATTTAAGAAATTATATGTAAAAACTAAAATTTAGGGGTTACGTGTGTAAATACATAAGAATTAAGTGGTATGTATGTAAATCTTTCTTTAATATGTCTTAATTATTATTTGGCTTTTAAATTTATATTTATAATAAATTAAATTTAGTGATAAGAAAAAAATAATGTAAATATATTTTAGAATGACATTTGGCATTTTAGCCCTAAATAATAAAATGACACTAAGACATTAAATTAGTAAAAATGAAAGGTGCTAATGGACACATAATTGACGGCCCACCATCAATTTTCTCAATTTTGTAAAAAAAATATTATTAAATTTTTAATAATATATTTATATGAAAAAGAATTTACAGGGTTGAATGTATGACTAAAATTTTCAGATTCACGGTGATATATTATTCACAGAAATCAGATTCACCGGTCGAAGTGTGGCTGAAACAGGCCTATCGACCGAAGTAGCTGAGTTAAGCCTATCGGGCGAAGTGGTTGAAGTGGGTCTGCTAGCCTAAGTGGCTGAATTAAGCCCACCAGAAGAAGTGGTTAAAGAATGCTTAAATCAAGAAATATCTATTCGTTCAACATTTAGTGCACAATTCAACTTCGAGGCCAAGCTTTTTGCCCAAGCCGCCATCACATCACCGACGTGAGATTACACACTAGGTGTTGATCTTTTATACATTAAAGCCTTCCTCTCAAAATGTTAGAGGAAACTTGCCGATAAAAATAGAAATACTGTAGTGATTATTTTATGATTAATTATCCCTCATGTCCAAAATAGAAAAAAGAAGAGAGAAAAATGGGACTCTTGGATTCCCAAAAGAAGTCGGGGCTAGCTCGAGCTTAGCTTATTAGCTCATCGAGCTTAGCTCAAGAGCCACTCATTGGCCCAAACTCGAGCCAGCTCACTGAGTTGGATTGACTCACTTGCACCCCAGCTCTTATCCTGCTAACTCATCTCAAGCTTTGTTTAATGGAGATGTGAAAGTCGATGTCGACGTTTAATCTCTCTCTCTCTCTCTCTCTCTCTCTCTCTCTCTCTATTTTTTGGAAGAGGCGGCCGAAGGAACGGGGCGGCCACGGCGATCGCTTCAATCGAGCTATGCTCATCGATTTTTGTTTTTTTTTAAATCCTCCGGACCAACATCCAGTTTGAACTCTTCTCGTCTTCAATAAAAAAGCCCTAAAAATCCTCCTTTGACCTGTAGTTTCTGAGGCCTGCGACAGATTGAATCGATGAATTGATGCCCTTTGTCAATCCCAATCGCGGTCTCCTGCTCACCTCTGCGCGAGATGGCGGAGGCGATCTTTCCGGCGACCTGGGAAATTCCGACGGATTACACGATTCGAAAGTGCCGAGTTGGTCTCAAGGGCTGCGATTTCAAGGTATATGATGCGTATGGAAACCTCCTTCACCTGATCCAGTGCCGATCGTTCAGCTCTTCTCCACGACGAGTCGTCACTCTCCTCGATGCAGACGCGACCACTCTAATCACGGCCGTCCATCTTGATGTGAGTCTAACCCTAACTCGTCTTCATCTTCTTGATTTCATGTGTGTTTATATTCAGTGAATTTGGAGAGTGGAATTGTGTGCTGTAGAAAGCTCCTCAACAGACGTATGGCTAAAATTAGAAGAAATGTCTGAAAGTTGCTGATGAGATGAAGTTGTTAGGGTAGTTGTTGTAAATTGGGAAGGGGGAAGTGTGAACTGAGGACATTAGAGAATTTCAGAAGAAAATCTGTTAGGATGAGGTAGCTGAAAATGGATTGAGTTGGTTGAAGAATGAGCGGTGGAGCTCTTATAGACATGTTTAAAAATTGCTTAAGAAGATTGCTTAAATGAGATAATTTTAAATGAAGATTTTAATTGGAATGAATAGTTAAGTGAGGTTGGAAACAATTTGCTTGTAATTGGATTGGGATGATGAAAGCATATAGATTATATATCAATGTTTGCTCTTCATGGAGTCATTGAAGAAAATGTGTTGTTAAGGTACCAGAGAGCAATGTTTTTGAGGGTGAACATGGTTTAAGAGGATGGAGCACAGTGTACTTAAGTTGAGTCCAATACATTAGGCAATGGAGATGCTAAAAGATTTAACTAATGGATGTGGGTTTCAAATAATGTATTAGGGACTCGATTGGCTATGTTTTTTGGATGATAATATGTGGTTCATCTATCATCTTCTTAATATTGGATATCACTTTCCCTCAAATTTAAAGTTTTAACATCGTTAAGTGTGATATACCGAGAGTTAATTCAACTGTATGGAGCATATTTGGTGGTCGTTCTCTTTGAAATGTGCTCAAGTATGATAATGGACCCCATCGAACCATTGTATTAAGTTGAAAAATTAAAGCCAAGTTGAGCACAATACAGTTATGGATGAACACTTGTCAACTCAAGAGCTTATAGTAATCAAGCGGGGCTACTACTTGTATTATCAACTCTACAATTTATTCCTTCCAATGTGAATAAATATTCTAACTTACAATCATGAGGTGTAGCCCAGTAGATAGGCAAAAAAAAAATTGTTGACTTTTATGGTAGTCATGTTATAAGTCAAACTAATCAGTACAAATTTTGGTCATAGATTATATGCCATCATATATGTGCCATGCATCATGATACATGATTTGATCCCAGATAGTACCATAAAACAACGCCAATATTGCATTTTTAATGTGTAGATTCTTAATAAGTTCATAGGCATTTTATATAATATATTTATAGTTAAGTATACAAAGTAGGATTTTTGTTAATTTAGATTTGTTCATACATAATTGAGTTTGAGGACCAATCTATCTTTACTTTAATCAATTAAATTCATAACCACACAACCTATACTGAGCACAAACACTTGAAATATCGTTGCATCCTTGTCATTAAATCAATTTTTCATTTTAAATATTCTTCAGATTGCACGTGCTTTAACTACTTTCATCTTTAGTTAGTTAATAAATAGAACCATCAAATATCAAGAAAATTAATATTGAAAACCTTTTTTTATCATCAAATAATTGATACCCCTATGAAATTACTTAATAATCCAACTGGGCTCATACTGTTAACACAAATTACCCAAATTCATGTTTAGATATGTTAGAATAATTTAATTATATCTTTCTTTATTTCTTCAATTTCATCCTCAAGACATGCTCTTCTTGAATTTGATCTCACTTTATCATTTCAAATTCATCTTCTTCATTCTCGCGTTATACCACTCTAAAGTTTGATGTTTTTTACATTTTTAGCATATATATTTATTTCTTCAATTGCTCATTACTCTTCTTTTTGAACATTTTAGCATCCATCTCATTAATGGAGACAAGGAGCTTGACTCATCATGTGGCTCATTATTATCAATCACGAGTAAATAAAGAGTTTCCTTCTTCGCAATACTGCAAAGAAGTAAAGATTATATTGGCATGAAATCTTTGCTTTTAGCTGAATATTTAGATTAGGCATATGCATTAATTAAGTTACATAGAATAGCTTATACAAAATATTATGTACCTAAAATAGATTGTACAAACAATTATTTATTGGAATGAAAGCAAAGGAAAAGACATTCAACCTATTTGTTCAAAATTTGATATGGTATCAGAGCTTGAATCGGTCTGAATCCTTGTTGTTATTCTTAACTTTTGTTATCTTCGTCGGAAATAACGAAGGGAATCTTCGCTGTCATCTTCGTCCGCTTCCTCGTTAGGAGCACTCGTTCTTGTCTTTGTTTAAGTTTTGCGGCATTTTCTTTCACCTTCGTCCAAGTTCAAGGAAATTCGCTGCCGAACCGCGATCCGCTTTGTTGCGATCGTATTTGCCGCGATCCATCTGCTCATCCACCGATTCCGAGATCGGCACGATCCCGTCTCCGCCAATTCCACGATCCCGACCCGTCATCCTCCGATTCCGCGATCCCGCGATCCGTCTGCTCATCCGCCGATTCCGAGATTGGCTCGATCCCGGATCCCCCGATTCCGCGACCGGGCCCGACCCCTATTCTCCTGCGATCCCGACCCGTCGTCTGCTGATTCCGCGATCCTGCGATCTGTTTGTTCATCCGCCAATTCCAAGTTCGGCTCGATCCCGTCTCCGCCGATTCCACGATCCCGCGATCCCGACCTGTCATCCGTTGATTCCGCGATCCGTCTGCTCATCCGCCGATTCCGAGATCGGCCGGCTCGATCCCGTCATCGCTGATTCCGACATTGGCTCGATCCCGAAAAGCAGTATCTTGACTCTGTGATTTTTTTTGTGGTTGATTTCAATCCACTAAAATTCTATTTAGAATGTCTTCTGAAATTATAGCTATCAAATTTACGGGAAAAAATTATGCTGCATGAGAATTTCAGCTTAGAATGTTCTTAAAAGGGAAGAAGCTTTGGGGTCATATTGATGAGACTTCTCCACTTCCTACTAAGGCAAAAAATCTTGGTCAATGGGAAGCAAAGGATGCTCAAATTGTTTCTTGGATTTTGGGATCTATTGAGACTCATATGATGAACAATTTACGATCCTTTGACACCGCTAAAGAAATGTGAGAATACTTGAAACGCGTTTACAATCAAGATAATTCTGCGAAACATTTCCAATTGGAACTTGACATGAGTAATTATAGTTAGGGCAATCTTTCAATTGAACAATATTATTTTTGCTTTCTAAATTTATGGAGCGAATATACTGACATTATCTATGCTAAGGTGTCAAAGGAGAACTTAGCTAGTCTTCAGGTTATTCATAAGAAAGTCGCCGTGATCAGTTTTTAATGAAGCTCAGACTTGAATTTGAAATTGTGCGAGCTGAGCTGATGAACAGAGATCTAGTTCCTTGTTTGGATATTTGTTTTCGTGAATTACTGCGCGAAGAACAAAAATTGTCGACACAAGCTGCTATTAGTACAACAGGTGGATCATCAGAAATAATTAATATGACATGCTGCTCAGACCAAAGGGAAGGGATCAGTGCAGTGCTACAGCTGCAAGAAATTTGGTCATATTGCGTGAAATTGTAAAAATAAGTATTGTAATTATTGCAAGCAAAATGAACATACCCTTACGGAGTGCCCTACACGCCCCGAGAACTGCAAACCACAAGCACTTCATGCCACGGTATCCGAAACTCACAGTCCTGGCTCGACATCCACAGTTGCTAGCAATAATCAATCAGTTGTTACTCCAGATATGGTTCAACAAATGATTCTCAGCTTTTTCTGCTCTCGACCTTCAAGGGAAGGGTAAAACTATTACTTCTGTCCCTTCTCCTTGGTTTGTTGGTTCAGGCGTCACAAATCACATGACTAACACATCTAATTTATTGCATAACCAACGACCGTACACTGATACTCAACATATTCAGGTTGCCGATGGAAATAATATTCCAATTACAACAGCTGGTGATATTAACTCCTTCAGACATGTCTTGATTTCTCCTAAATTATCTGCTAATTTACTCTCTGTTGGTAAAATTATGGATAATAACTGTGACGTATATTTTTCTCGTGATGGTTGTACTGTGCAGGATCATGTGTCGGGGAATGTGATAGCGAAGGGGCCTAAATTGGGCAGGCTATTTCCATTACAATTCACAGTTCCTCAGAATATGTCATTAACTTCTTCAGTTGTTGAAAATAAGATAGACATATGACATAAAAGATTGGGTCATCCAAATGATATGGTGTTGAAACATTTAATTAAAAATGGTGTTTTTCATTCTGCAGATAAAAATTTAGTAGTGGACTGTTCTGTTTGTAAACTTGAAAAAAGTAAGACATTACCTTTTCCATATTCAGATAGTTGTGCCAATAAATGTTTTGACATTATTCATAGTGATGTTTGGGGAATTCCACAATTTATTTCACATGCGCAATATAGATATTTTGTGATATTTATTGATGATTACAGTCGATTTACTTGGATCTCTTTTTTGCACTCTAAAGCAGAAGTTTTTACTGTATTTCAAAATTTTTTAGCATATTTTGAAACTCAGTTCTCTGCTTGCTTAAAAAAAATTACGATATGATAATGACGGTGAATACATGTCTAATGAGTTTGAAGCATTTCTCCATAACAAATGTATTATTTCACAATGTTCATGTTCCTATACACCGCAACAAAATAAGAGTTGTTGAACGAAAAAATCGACATCTATTAGATACTGTGCACACATTACTGATAGAATCCTCTGTTTCAGCTAAATTTTGGACTGAAGTTTTATCTACTGCAGTTTATCTCATTAATCGTTTACCATCTCAACAATTGAAGTATGATTCTCCCTACTATCGATTTTTTGGTAAACATCCTAATTATCATATGCTACATACTTTCAGATGTGTTTGCTTTGTTCTTCTACCTGCTTATGAACGTCATAAGTTGACAGCTCAGTCAGTACGATGTGCCTTTATGAGGTATAGTCCTAATCATAAAGGTTTTGTGTTATGATTCAATTAATAGTCGCTGATATATTTCTTGGAATGTGATTTTCTTTGAGCATGAATATTACTTTCAGCAT